CACTGGGGGGGGGGGGCGGAATCCAGAGATGGGATGGCAAGGACTGCCCTGAGCTGATGGCAAAGCTGAGCCCAAATGTCATGCAGATGCTGAAAAGAGAAAGTTCTTGAAGGAAGAGGAGTGTCTAAGGGGAAGAGAAGAAAGAAAAACAAAGATTAAAACAGGAAGTCTGAGCTTTCCAGACAATACCACGAAGCCAGCTGAGCTCCCCTGGGCATACAGAGAGTGGCATGAAAAAACATGTTGGCACTCCACTCTTTGCTGCCTTAGTCATAAGAGCAAATAAATGCAAACAACAAAAGGAACTCGAAATATTTATTGCAGGCTGCCATATATTTCTCCTACAGAGAGCTAGTGGGTTCAAAGAGCTTGCCTCTTAGTCAGAAGTGTTTATCACTTCACCATGAATAATTTCTTTAAAAAGAATTAGTACACAGAGCTCTGGTGGCCTAGTGGCTAGAAGCTGCGCTGCAAACCTGAAGGTGCGTGTTTTGAATCCACCGGATTATCCACTGGAGAGGGAGGGGCAATCTCCTCCTGTACCTGTCAGATCTGACCTGATGGTGCGCACACACACATAATTAAAAAGAAAAAGAATTAGTACAAAAAAAAAATAATTAGTACAAAGCTGGTTCCTAAGAGGCAGAAGTTAAATATGTCTCAAATATCCAACCTTTTCCCAACTTTTCTGTCATTAACCATTCCTCCCCACCTCAGGCTTCTATCACAAGCATGAGGAAAATGTCCAGGCAGTTGTGGAGGCACCTGTAAAAGAGCTACTAAGTACCTTGTCCCCAAAAACCCCACTGCTGTAACCCTGGTCCCAGCTCACAGTGACGCTCATCGGGTTTCTGAGTCTGTGTATTTGCATACAGAGCAGTGGTAACACAGTGACGACAGAGTCTAACTTCTTTTTTTTTTTTTTTTTAGAGTCTAACTTCTATGCACTTCACAAAGGGGAACTTTCCCCGTCAATAATACCCCTAGTACTAAACCACAGTCAGACATAGTCAGACATGCTACCCACATGCTCCTGCACCTATTTCTACCAATCACTGGGTCCAATGTCGATTGCAACTTGACTAATAAAATTCAGTTTGTGCGGTTTACTGTGGAAATAGGTTGTGGGACTTATTAGGGAAATAAGTTGGGGAGTGAGGGAAGCAAAGAATATCACACAATGGAAGTCCAGGTTTAGCCCATCGGTTCTGAGCCAGATTAACAAGGCAAAATTCCTCAATTAGTGAAAGTACAGTTTCAGTTCAGCAGCACAAGGAGCTTCTGGTTTCCTTAATCGACCAGAAAACTGTAATCATCCAGAGAAAAGTCAGCTTTTCCTTCAATCATCCAGCAAATGAAACCTTTAACATTGGCTCCATCTCTAGGGTTCCTCTGGTTACACCTTGCCACCGTCTCTTCACCCTCTCTTTACCCTGCTCTCTCACAATGTGGTGAGACTCCTATATTGGTCCCACAGCTGTTGATGATTTACAAGACCAAATGTCCTCAGTTAAGGTAGCTGGAGACCATGGCCCCAGTGGGGGCTAACACAATGGCCAGAAAAATACATTTTCCAGATTTCTAATACCACAGTATCTTTTTAGTATATGTGCTACTGAAGCGAGCACAACCACAGTATCTTTATTGGAGGAAACTTTTCATCTTTCTCCCAAGAAGTTGATGTTGGATGTGAGTTGCTGACTTTTCAGTTAGAACCTGATATGTTACACACTACACCGCCAAGGCTATTGTTACGTGCTGTCAGGTTCAGGACTCATAGAAACCTTATGAACAGTGGCTTTGAACTTCACCCTACCCTGTGTCATCCTTAGCATCTCTAACACATTTGAGCCCACTGGTAGAGTCATCCATTCATCATTCCATCTCATTGAGGGTCTTCATCTCTTACCCTGGCTCTCCACCTTTCCAATCCATTATTCTCCAAGAACTGGCTCCTGCTGTTATTGTTGTTGTGTGCCACTGAGTTGGAACTGATTCATAGCTGACCCTCCAGCAGGTTGTCAGAGGCAGTCAATCACTTAGTAGAAGACTGCCCATCCTCTTCCCTTGAAGTTACTGGTGGATTCGAGCCAGGTGCCATTGGGATTGAAGTGTAGCTTCTTACCACTAGCCCACCAGAGCATCCCATTAGAGATGTGTGAACTGTCTGCAAAAAAATCTCTTTCTGTCACTGCCACTGAATCACTGATGACTCTTGACGGCCATTCAATAGATTTCCAAGTCTGTGAATCTTTATGAGAGGAGACTGCCTCTCTTTCTCCTGCAGAGCCCCTGGTGGGTTTGATGTGCCAGAGACTGCTGGCTTTTCATTAGCAGCTCACAGAATACAGGGTACTGCAAACAACAAATGCTGGCGAGGTTGTGGAGAAACTCGAACCCTTATTCACTGTTGGTGGGAGTGTAAAATGGTGCAGCCACTATGGAAGGCTATATGGCACTTTCTCAGAAAGTTGCAAATAGAAATACCATTTGACCCAGCAATTCCTGTACTGGGAATATACCCCAAAGAGACCATAACTGCCACCCAAGCAGATATATGCACACCCATGTTTATTGCTGCTTTGTTCACAATAGCAAAGAGTTGGAAACAAGCCAAGTGCCTATCAACACATGGATAGAGAAGCTGTGGTATATTCACACAATGTAATACTATGCTGCATTGAAAAACAAGAAACTCATGAAATATTATAAAAAATGGGTGACCCTGCAGGACATTATGCTGAGTGAAATATCTCAGTCACAAAAGGACAAATACTGCATAATGCCACTGTTAAAAAAGAGGACTGACATTGGGGTTGGGGGGAGACTGAGAAAGATGGGATAAAAAATGTATACTGCATTGAAACAGATGAGGAAGAGAACTGCTGGAGAACATGACTGGAGTTCAGAATGAAGGCTGCATAGTGGAGTGGACTTGGGGGGAAGGGATTGTATAACAATGGAAGAAGTTTTCTTTTACTTTTCAAACGGAAGAGCGAATTGGGGGGGAGGGGTGGCCAGGGAGAAAAGTGCAAAAATGAACGAATGGAAATCCAAAGTCTTTGTAAACTTTCATTAAAATTAATTTTTTTTAAAAAAAGAATATAGGCTACTGAGCTCTATGCCACTGAGCTCTCAAAACAGACACCACTAAGGGGAATGGGGGTCCCAAAGCACTTCATCGTGCTACACAGACCAAGAAGCAGCTATCAGAGTAGAAAAAAGGCATAATGCACGGCAGCTATGAGAAGGGTGGTCATCAGGGTTGTATCCTTTCTCCACATCTATTCAACTTGAAGGTCGAGCAAATCATTCAAGCAGTTGGGCTGAAGAAGAATTAGGATCAGGACCGGAGGGAGACTCATCCGCACCTGTGTTATGCAGATGACACAACCTTGCTTGCTGGAAGTGAAAAGGACAATGAAAATTTAAGCTGAAACTGGAAATTCAGGGAAGAGAGCATTGAGCACTGGCGTTAAGGTCTGTTTTTCAGGAAGTTATGTCAATTCATGGAATTCACATCATCATCAAATCACCTGCTGCCTTCTCTTACCAGAATGGCTGGACAAAGTTCCCTAAGAACTCGCCCTGTCTTTTCCCCGGGGAATAACCTAGCATGTACTACAGCGGGTCCTAATGTGACTTTTAATGATTGTTTAATAAATGTTCGCTTTACTCGACTACCACGAGGAGACAAGCATTCAGTCCAGTTAACAGAAATGTGTGGGCAAAACTCTCCAACTTGGTTGCACCTGGAAAGCCCTTCTGATACTGATCCCACCTGGGGATCTCCCTGGAATTGGTGAGGCATGGGACTTGTAGAGGCTTCTAAAGTGACCCAATGTGCAGCCACGGTTGAAGAACACTGACATAAAAGGGAGAGGGAAGGCTGTAATAGTCAATCTACAGCCCCAACAAAGTAAAATAAAAATGTGGAGGGAGGATAAAAAAATGTGGAGGATGGACAGTGTCAGAGTGTCACTTACCTGGGTATCTATCTACGTAGGTCTAAGACACTAGCATCAGCCTGCATAGGATTCTAACTGCCAGGCAATGATCAACACATAATCACTTCTGACAGTTAATAATAATAATAGACTACAGAGAATTCTGGTGGTGGATTCTACAGAGAGCTGAGCAGAGATTCTCTGGCTATTCTTATCCACCAGCCATTCAGGGTCAGGGAGAAAGATGGGAATTTTCCTCTTGTGTGATTTACAGCCTTGGAAACCCACTGGAGGGTGAGCTGTGAGTCAGAACGGAGTTGACAGCAGTGAGAGATGGAAGATCAACTCTAACAGATGTCAACGGTACTCTCCAAAGCAGGGGTCTTTAAGGGGGTGGAGTCCCCACTGGGCAGTGAACGTGAAGAGTCCATTAAGTGTTGGTGCCTGGCTGCTAGCTGGTAGTCTGGTGGTTCATTTCCACCTAGAAGTGGAGCAAAAGATACCTGATAATCTGCTTCTCAAAGCTTGTTGTCGTGTACCATTGAGTCGGAACTGACTCATAGCTGACCCTCCAATCGGTTTTCAGAGGCAGTAAACTTCAAGAGAGGAGAATGTCCATCTTTCTCCCACGGAGCAGCTGGTGGATTCGAGCCACGAGTCTTTGGAGTTGCAGCACAGCGGCTTATTGCTAAAACCCTGCGAGGTGCAGTGCTACTCTGTCCCGCAAGGGGTTGCCCTAAGACTGAATCCCCTTGAAAGCAGCTATTAGACTTTGAGATTGGAGGAACTGTGCTTGGGTGAGGTGGGGGGGGGGGGGGAATTACATGTCACTAATTTCTCAGGAAAGTGTAGCACTTTCTTCAACTACGGATATAAGTTTCAAACAAAAAGCCCAGCAGTAGGAGCAGCTGCGCCCAGAGAAAGCTGTGATGTTTTCACGTTGCATTTCAGTGTCTGCAGTCAAAATAACATTGACACTCAGCCCTAATGTGGAAGTGCAGTTGTGCCCACAGACCTGCTGATAGATCCACACAGCTACCAAGTTCATTCATAATGTTGCGCAGAAAGTACTGCATCGTGATTTACGTTTCGGTAGTGCTATTTCCGGTGAGCTGGATGCACGTAAGAGGCTTTCTAACAGGGATTCCAAATGGCTTTGCCAGAGTCAAATAAATGGGTGCTGCGTACAAGGCGGCGCCAGGCCCCGCTCGGGAAGCGGTGCCCAAACAAGCAGACAGGGAGCGCACGCGCGCGCCCCCAGCCAAGGCCACCTCCGCAGAGCGAGTCTCATCAGGGAGCTGCCTCAGACCACAGTTGGGTCTTGTTTTCCCTGCACTTCCGCAGATAAGATTCAGCCTGAAAAGCCAGTGCAAGGGAGCAGTGAACAGAATGAGTTTTCTCTTTCCCCTCAGCCGCCTCCTGCTCTTGGCATTTCAGAATGCCCCCACTGCCAGGCTGGTAATTCGAGCTTCCAAATGAATCAAAACACACAGCGCCCAGTTCAAGCCCAGGCAGACAAGCTCGGGAATCAGACAAGCTCTCCTCTGGTGACCCCCGCTCTCCAACTCCGCGGGCCAGCCCTTCGCCTCGTGTGCCCCATCTCGGGTGCCAACCTTCAACAAGTCCGCTATCTGCCCCTTAGCCCCAGTGGGGCCTCTGGGGGCCTTACCTGGATGGGCGCCTTACCTCGGGGACGCCCGCAGCACCTGGAGCTGCCTCCCCTGCCTGCCGCGCGCCCACCTCGCGCGCAATCGCCAGCTCTCCGCTCGGCTCTCACGGTCAAGTCCGGGGCTGCGGGCCAGGAAGGAGGAGGAGCGGCCGAGAGGCTGCCCCGGCGCTGCGCCGCGGGGCTGGGAACACGCCGACCGCCCAGCGTCTTTGCCCCGAGCGCCTCCCGCTTCCTCTGAGCTTGCCCGCTGGCCCCTCCCTCCACCTCCGTGCAACGCCCCCTCGACACCCCCAGCTCCACACCTCCCACCCGCACCCCGCCCACGCAGCCCCTGAACTCGCGCATCCCTTCCCGCTCCACGGGCCGCACCCACCTGCCCCGTGGACGCGCCCCCGGACTCGCCCCCTGGGCACGCCGCCCAGGACTGAGGGACAACGCGCAGTGGATCGGGAGGGGACGAGGGCGGGACCTGCGCCACTTCTTCCCTCGCGCGGGGCCACGGCCAAAGCCTTGGTGGGAGAGACGACGGCGCGCCGGGACCCGACAGAGTCCAGAGGGGCGCGTGGGCGCGGCCAGACTCCCTGCCGCGCGCCCAGCCCTCGGCGCGCTCCGAACGACTGGCCCCAGAGCCCACCGGACCACCCGCCGGATCGGCGCTCACCCCGGGGCTCCGAGTGGTCGATCACCATGCACCCAGGGCCGCCGAGGCCGCTCACGCTCAAGCTCCTGCCGCTGCTGCTGGTGCTGCTGGTGACGCGCGCGGCCGGCAAGGTGAGTGCGCGCTGCGCGACCCCACCCCACACCTGGCCGGGCGTCGGGGGGCCAGGCACGCAAACGGGGCGTCTTCTCTCCTTACCGGGGTGGCTCCTGGCACCAGACTGGTCCCTGAGAGGGCAGTGAGGAGGAAAGGGTTTAGGAGGAACAGGTGGAGTTCGCTTGGTGCCAGGAAGGTCAGGTGGGAAGGAACTTGATGCTGGTCCCTGGGTTTAGGGGGGGGGGGGGCACGTTAAAGGCTCATCAGATTAAAAAACCAGTACTCATTGGGACAAACAAGTGAGATATGGAGACCCTCTGTGTCACTGATAGTGACATGCAGGCAGCGTGAATCCACACAGGACTGGGAGTGGAAAGTTCCCTGCGGAGTCACAACTGGGGACTCCCTCTGAACTCTAACCTCTCTAGGGTTAAATTTCTTCCTTGTTAGAGCTTGCCCTCCGTTTGCTTTAGCTATAGTTTTGGAAAAATCATAATGCCACTCACGAAAAATTTAAAGCACCTTAGAAAGAGAGCTGATATTAGTATCAATTAAGCTGCCTGTCGCTTTGGCCAGTATTCAGATTTTTAGTAATCTGATTTCATTTAACTCCATTCTCATAGTTCTTTGGTCTTTTTTACTTAAAAAAAAAAGAGAAGTCTCAAAACTATTAGGCATCCAGTGTTAGCTTCCTCGTAAAAGTTAAAATTTAACTTTTCAGTTGTCATGTGTTATTTTTACGTGTAAAAAACATTAATTCCTGGGGCACACATCCCTTGTGGTATAACTGTCATTTCTCCAAGGATGAGAAGTTGTTTGACAAATGTTTAGACTGAGATTACTATTACCTCATTATTATTATGATTATTACTATAGGATGATTATCGAAAATTGGGAGTAGTGAAAATATTTATGTGACATGGAAAACTGCTTAGAAATTCTGGCCACACATAGTCTAAAAGTGTTTTGCATTTACATTAAATTTTGAATTAAGACATTACAAAGGAAGCGACAATCCTATTTAAGCTTTCATCTACCTCCCTCCCTCTCCCCCAGCTCAAGCATTAACTCAAGCTTGAAGTATTTATTAGTATTACTTTTCTGTATCTTTCTAGGTATTTACTACCTATATGCACATGTATGGACACATAGAAAATAAAATGTTGATGGTTTTGCCATCCTTTATGCTATGATACGTACCCACACAGATGCATACACATATTTCTTTACAATCTGCAAAACTGGCAGTATTTAAAATCCGCCTCTTTTTCTTTGTACTCAGTAGCAGTTTTCCATACTGTGACTACCCCAAAGTCAATAGAAATGATTTCACTATAAATTCGTCTTGAAATTTTCTATGTTTTGTCACTGCATTCTAAAGGACTTTTTTGGTAAACCAGGTAAATCTTCTGTTCCTGTAACTGATTTTCAGAGAAAAGCACTTTGCGTAGACTACCAATGCCCAGCCCTGTAGTTAAATACTTCATGGCATGATAAATAAATCTCATTGCAGCCTGTGAATTATCTACCACCTCTAGCCCAGGAATAAATAAATCCCAAAAGTAGGAACTGCAAAATGATTGTGTTATAGGAAAGCTTGGGAAAGAGTTTCAGTATGAAATGTACACCTGTTTCTGGACTCCAAAGAAGAGAGAAATGGAGAGAATATGTTGGGAGAGGGAGGAAGGACAGGGAGGACTCATACAGGTGTGAGCACTAACATAGACTGTAGATACTCTGGGACCATCCAAACGCGAATTACACCCATTTTAATATATTAGCACATTTCTTACAGATCATTTTCTGTTTAAGTTTGACCAAACCTTGGTGGGTGACTTCTTGCTGATACTGCAATGAATTCATTTGTGTTCTTCTCATAGTCTCTTGAAATACGTCTTTTCTCAGAGTTTTAATAATCATCAGTTCCATTGTATTTGCCGAATTACATGGAAAATATGTCTAGAAATTATGGAATGTCCCTTTAAATTGTAAAGGAAAAGAATCCCAAGTTTATTGGTCCCTGGAAAATGTGTTCTATTTATTGATCTTTCTACAAGGTAACTCTGAGGTTGGGCAAAGCCCTGTAGCTCTCTGAATCTCAGTTTTCTCATCTATAAAATGGTGAGATTATGATGCCTACCAGGTAGATGATGATATGACAGGGTGGAGTGAAAGGGGCCAACAGCAGCACTTCTCAAATTTGGTGACACCGAAGTCTTGTTCTCTTCAGAATATACGCTAGACATCCACTGTCTATGAAATACTTCTCAAATTTTACATATTAGCTAAATTAAAACTATAGCAAATAGTACACAAGTTGTGGGCCAAACAATGTATAAGTGAGGGCCACATTTGCACTTTGTTTCATCATGTTAATTATCTTTGTGCTGTGCTGACTAAGGATATGCTTTGCTGTAAATGTCTACTTTAATAATTCTCAGAACATAGAGCTATCAGTGGTGTGACCTTACATGCCGAGTCTAGACTGGGTGGAACTCTCCACCCACACCATTTGTACTGAAGCACACAGGGTGAAATATTTTTGCTGTTTCACAGTAGACACCCAGCTCCAGGCTTGAATAAAATGAGGTGCCTCGTTCGTCCTTTCTCTTTTTGTCTTTCAATCTTGAATGGAAAAGAAATAGGGGAACTTTCGCGTATCAAGAATTGAACAACAGATGCTTTTAGGGAGTACACTTTTTCATCTGGTTTCATTTTCAAGTTAAATATTAAGTTGATGTAGGAAATCATTCAAAGAAACAAATGTAATGTCACAGATATCAACTTACCTGTCCTGTGATTAAGCAAATATTCATAAACTTCGACTCATTTGTTTTCAGATTGCTCTTTTTAGGAAAACAGTATAGAAGTCATGTCTCCACTTATATTCTAGGGCATTCTATTTATTATATTATTATGATATTTATTCTAGGACATTTGTGTATATTATTTCTCTGTGTCTGTTTATTTTTTACTACATGTTTCTGTTCCTATAGTCACCATAAAAAACGAAATATTTTTTGTGGTTTCAAAAACGGAATAAACTGCCTTTCTACGAAGATGGCTCCGAAAGCGAAGAAGGAAGCCCCTCCCCCTCCCAAAACTGAAGCCAAAGCAAAGGCATTAAAGGCCAAGAAGGCGTCCTGAAGGGCGTCCACAGCCAGAAGAAGAAGAAGATCCACACGTCACCTACCTTCCGGCGGCCTAAGACGCTGAGACTCCGATGGCAGCCCAAATACCCCCGGAAGAGCGGCCTGGGAGATATAAGCTCGACCACTATGCCATCATCAAATTTCCCCTGATCACTGAGTCAGCTGTGAAGAAGATAGACGATAACAATACACTTGTGTTCATTGTGGATGTCAAGGCCAACAAGCACCAAATCAAACAAGCTGTTAAGAAGCTCTATGACATTGATGTGGCCAAGGTCAGCACCCTGATCAGGCCTGCTGGAGGGAAGAAGGCCCATGTTCGACTTGCTCCTGACTATGATGCTTTGGATATTGCCAACAAAATTGGGATAATCTAAACTGAGTCCAGCTGGCTAATTCTAAATACAAATTTTTCTCACCATAAAAAAAATGGAATCATTGATATATTTTACTTATCTATCAGAGTTTGCATTTTTCACTCAATACTATATGGTTTTTGATGTTTTTTACCCATGTAGAGCTTTAATCTATTTACAGTAAGAGACTGTTGGTGTAGTGGTTAAAGCAAGTTGGCTGCTAACTAGAGGCTGGAGATTCACACTTGAGGAAGAAGGATGTGGTTGTGTAGACAAAGTTGGAAACCCTGGGGACAGTTCTGCTCTGTCCTGGAGCGAGTCTGTGAATCAGACGCAATGGCAGCGGGTGGTAAGAGCTGCAACATAGAATCAAACTGTAGAAAAAACTGCTAGAAAAAAACTGCTCAGGCTTTTTTATCCATCCCACAAAACACAGGACGTTTGATTCTAGGTTTTCATTTTACCAAGTATCTTGTACATCTTTGTGTATATATATTGCTGTTGTCTGGCACTCTCACGTTGACCATGACTTATAGCTACCCAGTGAGCAACGATCAAAGTCTTACCCTCTCCTCACAATCGGCAGCACGATGGCCCATTTTTGGAGCAACTGTGCAGTCCGTCTTGCTGAGGTCTTCCTCTCTTCCACTCTTCCCCGTAATTCTGAGCATCGTGACTTTTTCCAAGGACTGGCCCCTCCTAAAATATGCATAGAGTATATGAGACTAAGTTTTCAACATCCTTGCCTCTAAGAAACACCCTGATTGCTCTTCCTCCAAGGCTGTTGTTGTTATGTGCCGTCGAGTCGCTTGCGACTCATAGCGACCCTATGTACAATAGCCCTAAACTCTGCTCTGTCCTGTGCCAGTCGCACTGTGTCTCTGACACTCCCATCCCGATCATCCCAGTCACTGAATCAATCCACCTCATACAGGGCCTTCCCCTCCTGCGCTGTCCCTCCACCCTCCCAAGCATGATGTCCTTCTCCAAAGACCGGTCTCTCCTCACAACACGTCCAAAGTATGTTAGACGGAGCCTCAGAATCCTTGCCTCCAAGGAGCCACCCAGTTTAACCCTTTCCAGGACAAATCTGTTTGTTTTCCTAGCAGTCCATGGTATTCTCAATACTCTTCTCCAGCACCACAGCTCAAAGGCATCAATTCTCCTTCTATCCTCCTTAGTCATTGTCCAACTCTCTGATGCATAACAAGTGATTGTGAAGACCATGGACTGTATCAAATGCAACTTAGTCTCCAGAGAGACACCATTGCTCTTCAGTACTTTGAAGAGGTCCCTAACAGCAGACTTTCCCATGGCAATGCACCTTTTAATTTCCTGGCTGCTGGTGCTAAGAGTGTTGACTGTGGAGCCAAGCAAACTAAAGCTGTGAACAATCTCAATCTCTTCACCATCCATCCTGATGCTGCCAATGATTCTCCAAGGTAGGTTGGTTTATTCTTTGGGTGGTCCATGAGATACCAGTTCTCTCTGTCAACACTGTAGTTGAAA